GTTATCAACAATATCAGGGAATATTTGATGAGGCAGGAAAAAAAGGCTGTGTTTAAATGCCTGTGAACTAGTTTTACCTTCGTCAAAAGTCTTGCTTTCGGCAACGGGAATGACCTTCATCATATATCTGTTTTCTTGCTCTGGCATTCGTAAATGCATTGTAATTACCGTCTTTAGCCCTCCTTCTGAGTCACCAAGCACATTGTTGTTCATTCAGATTTACGCCCTTTGTCCGCCTTTAGTATTACTGTGCAGTTGCATAAGTATAAAAGCCGCCTAAAATTTCTTATTTGTGTAACCGGTGGAAAGTTTTGAATTTATTCGGGTTTATTAAATGATATCTGACCATAAGCAACAACTGCATTGCGGTGACACCTTTGGTATCACCCATACAGGATCTTCACGAAAGTTTAATTCTAATCAACGCGTAGTTAGACGATATATATTATGTTCCCAATGCAGTCGTGTGGGTATATATACGTAAACGGCCGATTATGCACGCGTCTTGCATGCTCCTCCCAAATGCTCGCCGAGGTGTAGACAAACAAAGGCTAGACTGTTTGTACGTTCGAGGGCGTACGTAGAATTCGCATATCCATTTGGCATCCACAAATAAACCGACACATGTTTCGTCATGTTTCATTTAGTAAAAATGAAGTCTGAACACAATGCGCTTCAGATGGAGTAATAACTGGAGCGCAGCGATTGCCTGCGATTCTGAGACGGACTGGTTGTTCATGAGCATAGCCGTGCTTTGTCAGACTCATTACCTTTAAAATGACGAAAACTTAAAAAAAATTACGCTAGCTAGGTCATCGACTTGGGAGCTTGACAACATTCTTAATGACACGATACACGACTTGAATTTCAAAGTCTGGTAGTCATATCGCTGTCAAAAAACCCAACGACGTTGATTCCCAGAAGATTCAGAAACCCTAGTATTGGGCGGTTGAGCAATATAGTGTTTAAATAATTGGCAATCCTTGACAAGGTATGACATAGAGTGGCACGTTCTGATAAGCAGACAGAAGATTTTTTGAGAGCATTACGTTCAAGACCTTTCCGGCGCTGCATATTTGAGATCGGGATGATGCATTACATTAGACAGTGTACCAATATCCACTATCAATCAACCAAACAACAATAGATTAAAGACTTTCGTTTTTTACTTTTTTTCAGAAATTATCTATGACGTTGCAGTAGATCAGTTAGTTTAATGTCTATGGGCACATACCGATAAATTAATACATGAATATTTGGGCCAAAGTACATCAGCCGCAGCGAGTAACCGCGTAATATTCATTAACTGCGAAAAGGCAGCTAGAAGCATATTTTAGTGTAAGGTGATACACTAACAGCACAGGTACTAGCCAAAAGCCCATGCACGCGTACTTCACCGATGCTCTGCCGCTCCATGGCGCAGCTGCGAGGGGTTTGGCTCGTCAATAGGTCCCACAGCATCCACCGTCTGATTTCGGGTAGATACTACAATTAAGAAATTGTAGCTTTTTAATTTCCTCAGAAATGGTCTACGAAGTTGGAGTAGATCAGTTCATTGAAGGTCTATATGCTCAGACTAACGATTTTATACATGAATATTTGGGCCATATCGTATCAGCCTCAGCGTGTAAGGGCGTAATTTTCATTACTGAGGATAGGTAGCCAGAACTATATTGTAGGGTAAACTGATACCATACCGTCATAAAAATATCGGTCTGAGCCTATAGACCTTAAATAAACTGATTTGCAACATGTTCATAGATAATTTCTGAGGAACTTTAAAAAACGACAATTTGTAAATTGGAGTATCTACCAGAAAACACAGGAGATGATTAAATCTAAGGTAGAGCAGTCACAATATTTCCGCATGTTGCGTGTGGTTGTATCGACATGTCAACTTGATATGAAATGGAAGCATTTGACAAACAGTTCTGCAACATTAATCTGAACAAACACGTCTTAAATTCTTCCGATGTTTTCTGAGCGAGTGTAGTTAAAGCTCAAAGGCTTAGTTGATGTGGCGAGAGAATATCAGCCTACTTTGAATTTAAGAACAGTTATGGTTTAGTTCCACTTGCCAAATAGATCTGACACTAAATAAAACCCGTGCCGTCTGTAAATCACACTATCGATGCCCTACTCAATGGCTTGAAAATGTTGACTTGTTTGTGCTACAAGAGTTCGCGTTAAATGGCGATGGCGGTTCAAGGCAGTACCGTAGCAGTCTGCACCTGCCTCTCAGACAAGCCAACCTACATCCCCGTCCACTCAAAATATCACTCGCTTTTACATTTCTAAAAACTCTGCAAAAATCCCCTTGAGCCCACTCGTCCCAAATCCTCTCATGCCCTCTGAGTGACTGCAGTAAGTATTTGAAGGGTACAGTCAATCCGCCAAAAAGGCACTAGCCTCCACGGTTCATCTGACAGACAAGCCAGACTTACGCCCTCCACTCTGTATGTCATCGAAATGCCTGCCAAACTGAATGCTGCCTTAGATAGTTAATCGAATTTTGTGTAATTAAACTAATTAACACTTTCGATCGTTTCTGGTGATAAAATGTTAGGTGATCACAGAAGAAAGAAATGAGCGTTTACATATGGCCTGTGTTATATGCTTAAAATCCAGAACCCCCCAGACTCAGAAGGAAGGCAACTGTAACATACATATTCCATGAAGAAGGATGCACGATCGCTATGAATAGAGCTTTATTCGCCTGACGTATCCTCTTCCGGCTTGGACACACCATGAGGGACAATAGTCGATACGGGTGGTCCATGCACAATGGAAGATTGAAGAAGGAGACACGATTGCATTGACAAGAGCTTTATTAGCCTGACGTTTCACATGCCTGCTCAAACCCATCATCAGTGAAAACAGCAGATACGGGTGCTCCATGCACGAGGGGCTGCTGTATTTGTAGGATGCAGTCGCCTAGGTCCTGGTGGGTGCCTCAGGCCTGTGTGCAACGCCCACCCAAAATGGTGCAAGAAGGCGGCCGACAGCTTGCTAATCGTTTCTAACATAGTGAAGCGCTCAAGCCCTAGCTGGCATTTTGTTTCTGAAATGACATTTACGACGACTTTCAACCACCTGTTATCAGTAGCTGAGTTATCTTAAAATCCGCCTACACGTGGCGTGCATGATTATGAACGTACAAAATGTTCATGTTTTCAAGGAGGGTGGCTGGTATCTGGCCTGTGTGGCAATGCCATAAAAGCGAACTCATGAAGAAGCCATCCAAACTTGATCTCGGTAGCTTAGTCATTAAATCCATGCCTAAGCGGCCCTGATATTTTGTTGGCATTTTGTAGATCAGCGGAAAACACTCATTAACAGTTAACACAGTTACATTTTGTGAACTTCTACATTTAAGTCAAATGGTTTACGTTAAATAAAAAATAAGTGCTAAATCTCCTTTCAACATCAAATTGTTGAAAACTTAACAGCCAAATATGATTTGTCTGTTCTCTGGGGACGTATGAAATATACTTACATCCGTCTTATTATAAAATTCGATATCGACCATGGCTGCTATTTACAGCTTATTACATGATTATAAAATCAGTTCTATCTATCATTTCGGCAACGTTTTTCCTCATATTTCGTTTGCGGATTGTTATTAGTGTATAAGCAAGCAACCGGATTGCTTTCGCGTAAATATGTATAGCATAAATTCCTATTCGGACGTCTTACATTTGTGTGCATGAAGCAATGTGCAGTTTAGTGAATTACTGACGTCTCCACTTCTCAATCGTCATTATAATCACGACGGCAGTTAGTTTTCGAAGCCGGTATTTGTAGCCTGTAATCGTTTTGAACAAGGTGTTATTAAGATTTGAACAATGGAATGTTACCCTTGTTATTGGCACACTGTGAGGAAGCGTTTAGCGCTGGGTTGGCAATCAGTGAGACCTTCTGGTCGCCTTGCATTTAAATTTAGTTAAAATACTCATTTTGTAAAAAATATTGCATTTGCAAAATGCCTGTACAACGAAGTTCTTGTGAGGACGTAAGTAGATAATCATTTACAAACGAGCTCGGCACTGTACCATTTGCGAACATTTTACGGGTTGGTACACACCTTGTGCTCGATGGTAGCTTATATTGTGTCCGGCAGGACTGAACGCAGCTGTAGGAATACATCAGAAGATGCCACATACAATTAATTGAAGTCTTCTAGTGAGTGACGAAATCAAATTGTGTTCGTATTTTTGTTGGTGTGGTAAATCAATTGCATGTCTCTGTTGAAAATTCAACGATTTCGTTAGGCACATTTATCCATAAGAATAAATACTTGGTTTGGGATGCGAATCTGACTAAGCGCTGACAAAAAGCATTCAGTAATTGGCTCGTATATCATTTCGGGTGATGGGGTTAAAATTGGCCCAAATAAAGCGGACGCACTTTAATGCACCTAAGCTGGAACTTAAGAGGATCCGCAACTTTCGTGTGAAAACCACGAAATCTTTCTAATGCGTGTTGCGCTTTCTTTCTTGCGAAATACACAAAGCACAATTTGACAACGTTAATGGCTTTGGATGAAATGTTTATTTTGGCAGACGGACACAAAAATAGAAATGTATGTAAAGGCAATTTACAAACAGATGCCGTTTTGCAAATGTACGCAGTTCAAAAGCAAAACATAAAACAAAATAAATACCATTTAAATTAAAACAGTAAAAAGGAACATCGACGAAGGAGTTACGATCGGTGGAAAAAGAGCTTTATTAGCCTCACGTTTCGGATTCCTGTTCGAACCCATCATCAGAGACAACAGCAGATACGGGTGATTTATGCACCAGGGTATGCAGTATTTATATGATGCCGTTGCCGTGCCACCGCATACCTATGAACATTCACGGCTCCTCACTTAATCCGAGATTGTCGCACTTGGTGTGTTAATTCCACTGATCGCAGCAGTGGAATCAACCCTCAGCCAGACGGGAGCGACAGACGAAACGAAGAACCTAATTCGACATAAAGTGTCCTCCCTCCTCATGGCTCATAGGCCGCGCGATTTGCTTTCCAAGGCCGAGCGCGATGCACTTAAGGAACTCAGGGCCGATAACGACCTCGTTTTCGTGCCTGCGGACAAGGGGCGTTCAACGGTCGTATTGGACAGGACAGACTACATTAAAAAAGCCAAAAGCTTGTTGGAGGATAGTCAGTCCTATGTCCCATGCGAATCCAACCCCATGAAAACGCTGACACGCGAGATTAACGCGACGCTGTTGGCAATGGAGAACTCAGGTGCAATATCGCCAATTGACCGACGCATGGCGACAGCACAAGAAACGGGTCTAGCCCGATTCTACGGTCTCCCAAAAGTGCCCAAAGAGGGCGCTCCTCACGGGCCTATCGTGTCACTAAAGGGCACTCCAACCTACGGACTGGCAAAGTGGCTGTTCCAACGTCTTAAGTTTCTGACCTCCGATTCGAACACCACAGTCAGCTCGTCAACACAATTCTTGGAGAAACTTAAAGGAGTAAGTCTCCTGCCAAGCGATATCATGGATTCCTTTGATGTCACGTCCCTTTTTACTTCTATCCCGCAGGACCTGGCAGTCGAGACAATCGAACTACTCCTACGAGAGAAGTACGACGAAACGGAGAATCGCCTCGGACACGCCCAAATCATCCACCTCCTGAAGTTCTGTCTCAAGACGTACTTTTCATTCGACGGAACAATCAACGAGCAAGTGAAGGGAACACCAATGGGCTCGCCGATTTCGGGACTCATAGCCGAGGCGGTCATTTAACGACTGGATAAAGATAATATATTCCTTACAAAACTGAATACGAAATGCATGTTTGCGTTTTTTCTATATTTGGTTAAAACTGGATCCGCTTAAAACTCTGATAGGTTATTATCGTCCTCGAAAAAAATTGCATTTTTATTCAAAATTTCGTCACACATACAGATCTGTACCTACAAGGAGTGTGTGTTCTCTTGATTGCAATCACTTTTTGAAATCCCACAATTACATCTAATATTATACGGAATCATTTTCAATTGAAGCACATTGTTTTTTTTTAAACGCAGAGCACTTTGCAGATTGTTTGGTCATCTAAGCTATTTAAGTCATCATTCACATTTACGTTATTCGTGCTAGCAGAACTTGTACTTCTGACGTGTCCGAAAAAAACTGCTCATGGTTGTTGACTGCTTGCAGGCTAGAGGACGCATCATTCTGCGACAAGTTCTTGACCACTTTTATATCCTGGTCTCTCGCGTAGTCGATGTTCCAGTCATCATTCATTGAGAAGTGGCACCTTCGACTGATGAGCGTCAGTGAGTTGGCAAGCCAGTGATGATATTGTTGGCGTTAGCTTTGACGAATTTGTTGATGATAATGGGCGATTACTTTCAACGGCGACAAAGAATGGCATGTTTCTGAAGACAACGACGGTGCGTTACGAATGCAAACTTAAAGTAGTAGTTCATTGAGTTGCATTTCACGTGCCTTACCCCGTCACTGACTGGATTTGTCCTCCTAACGTTAAAGTGATATCCACCGGCACCATCTCGAGAAGTAAATGAATACTGCGTTGAAATCGGTCTCCGACTGCCGGTATGTGTTGGATGGCAAAATCGTTAGTCTTCCAGCGGTTGTTGTCGCACCGTCTTTCACAACACTATCACGCAAATGAATGTGTTCTTTAGAGCGCCGCGGGAATGCTGAGCACGGAGGCGCGTCGGACGCTCGTCACCTGTTTCTGGCTGGTGCCTTTAGCCAGCCTCAGCATGTAGTGTTCATTCTGTTGCTGAACGAAGCAGATCGAAAGCTGCAGAACGCGGTGGCCGTGACCGCAAGCGGGCTTCCGCAAGCCGGGCTGCAAGACAGTGGGCTGACCCTGGGTGACAGGTCCCTTATTTAGGTTGCACGTGGGTGAGGGGGCTTTGTTTACCGCATCCAGTCGTCACGTCCGAGAATCGCAGCGGAAGCGGCGACAGCCACATTAATGAGGGTACTGTGGGGCAAGTTCAAGTGGAGCCCAAGATTTGCGTGTTTTTTGCTGCAGTGTGGGTGGCTTGCCTATCGTCCCAGAGGGCGGTGGAAGGCCTGCTCAAGTGTCTGCAGGGTGGGTGTTGGGGTGGTCGCGGCCGTCAGGTGGAGCACGTGCGTTTGAACGAATGTCGGTCAAGTGACCACATTCTGGGCGCATATTTGTTCGCGCGGATTTAGGTCAAGTGGCAGCAGCAGGTGGCGTTGTTATGCCGGGAAAATTCCGGTTTTCTACCCATTACAGGCATACCATCGGCATAATTACAAAACGGAACAAACAAAATCCTGGCCCTGTGCGCTGGCTGTGTTGTGTCCAAATTTCAGTGCAATCGGTGCAGTACATTTTGAGATTACATGTAACGCAAAAAACCTATTTTTGTAGATATAGATGACTCGTGTGAATAAAAAGAGACTTTGAGCACCGGTGCACTTTTGTCTTCTCCGGAGATTTCGGACTTGTGTAGAAGTCTATCGTCAGAGGCATTAGCAGGTCAAAAATGGCTTATTGTCATAAATCAAATTGTTACTTATTGGTACTGTATGGCCAGTTGGCAATGTGCATGAGTCGTTTCCTATGTACACTGTCAGTCGAATGTGCGTGCCGAAATTATGAAACTGTGTATATATCCCAATGGAATAAAATTAAAACGTAAGCAAGGTTAAACCGCACAGCAGAATCCTAATATATACAAAAATGCGCATATGTACTTTGCCTAATACTTCTACAAAAGACTTTAATGGCGTCTCAAGCAGTCAGTCGATATATTTTCTGTCTATGCTGTTTTACGTTAAGGGAAAAAAATGTTGGATTGAAATCATTTTGATTGCAAATATAATTTCAAGATTATGATGAAGTGCATATTGTTGTCCTTTTTCGTTTTCCCCGTACTATGAAAATATATTCTAGTTTGTTTTGTTGGTGCAACTTGTTCATATCTATTTGTATTATTTAATTGAGCAATACATTCAGAAGGAGACAAAAACTGTGTATTCTTCAAACCGAAAATGCTACCTTTTTGCTGTTTCTTATTTTATCTAAATGCCGGCAACCGACTTCATGAAACACATCCTATATGCAAGAAGAAGTAAGTCATTACGGCCAAGGTCACCAAACTTTATTCAGGAACATTCCAAGTACCCTGTCGAAGGATACTGTGTTTGAAATAATTATGACATCACTGATAATCGTTTTGTTTAGATCCCCCACGATAAAGGCACCAGAAGAACGAATGATCCGAAAACCAGACAAAATGCCAGTCAGCCCAAAAGCTGATCCTCCAAGTCGACTTTTTACATACGGATAATATATGTTTCCGATTGGCAATGATGCGTTGGCTACAGAAGGAATTTTCAATCAGAAACAACAAGCTGCATTTTTTGTAAAACACTGCAATAGTTTCAATCTCCTTTTTACTATCGTGTGTTTATAGAGGAGGTCATAATAGGCAAAACGTTGCTGCATTTGTAATTCCTGACTGAGATTTTACATCTGAACTATTTAGCAACGCTTCTTATCTGGGTTGCCCATCTTATCAACCTTTCAATAGCAAAATAGATTTACACGCGCTTTCAGTCATGTGGGCAATCTATATTTATTATTAAACGACCAACCTTATAGCGTTTGATTAGAATTTTCGAATCTAGTGAAAGTGACTGGCATGATTAGTGGTATCAAACTAAAAATTATATATTTATGAACTTTGAACAGGTGAATTGCTGCTGGTCGTTTAACATCAAATGAAGCATACATATGCATGAATATCTAATGCCGATTTGTATTGGACATTTCTCAGTGTTTTCAAATGTATGACCGGAGTAGTAATGTCATTAGCAATCCTGAGCAGCAAAACACTTTGATCAACTCATACCAAACTAATCGGATAATTGGCGCTTATTCTGTTTTCAGCCTTTGTTTATACACACTTCAAGAACTCTCATATGCCTTTATAAATCAGGACGTAAATTTGGTTAGATAAATATATCAACGGGAGAAAAACGCAGCACTCAATTGGACTTTCGATGCAAAAGAACGACTGGATACGCAGTAATATGAATGTCTAGAAAACTTCATACACTCTCTTTTGAAATATGGTTTTTTGAACATTTAAACCACGGCACAGAAATATGTGAATAAAGGTCTTGGACTGCTGAAGATCCTTAAACAAGTTAGGAACATGCCCCGCTCTGTAGAGTGGCAGGCTAAATCAGTCTGTTTCAGGGGTTTAATCCTGTGTTTTGCTTTGCATGAAGTAAGGGGGATAAACTGTGTACCAAAACTGCTAATTCTTGCAGAGGTTTTCCCAAATTTACCCTTAAACAATTTCTTTATTGAAATATACGCAATAGGATCATTTAATACAAAACATTTCCGTCCATTCCCCTTGTGGTCTGTATAGATTTGACAGTATAAATATATTTTACACTTTTTTTAAATAACTGCCTTTAGTAGACCGGATATACATATACGCATAAAGTAATCCAGCGTTTTCTCACGTCACTTCCGCAAAATTCAAACTATCGATTTATATCTAGCAGATCAACACAGAATGGAAAAAGTAAATAAAAAAATCTGCTATCGCACTTAAAAGTTGAAAACTTTTAATTGTTACTGGTTTGCTCAGAGCAGGTGATAAAGAGCACTTCTACTTACCGAATTCGTAAAAATCCAATGTCAGATGAGAAAACGAAATATCCCACCACCACCAATTACCTGTCACGTTACATCCTAAATTTCGCCAATTCAGTGATTTTCTGACGGTAATTAACAACGAATTATCTTCTTTGAAAAGTGTCAGGTCAAGCAGTGCGGTTTTGACCAGCTCATTGACTTTCCAAAACAGAAGAATTTCCAATACTAGAAATTACATAATTATATAACATGTGCTTGTCAATGTATGATTTTGAGCTAGAGATTATCCAACCGACCTATTTATATGATGTAACTGCGCGTCTCTAAGTCAAAGTTATCGGACGATAGCTTGAGGTCTGAAAATTCCAAATGCTATTTGAAACCGTTTTTACATTTGGGCTTTTTGCTGCATTTACCTGTTATTAAAATATTAGGAGAATGACCCGAGGTTACAATGAAACTACACACTAGTAAAGCAAAATAAGAAAAACGGCTTTTTCACGCATTTACTTACCAGGCACTCTGCACGCCACTACGCCAGTAGCAATAATGCTTAAAGCAAATATGCAGCGAGACATTTGACAGACGTGTAGTGTTCAACAGCGAAAGCCACTAATATATACTGCCTGAAAGGTCAGTAGCAGGTACTATGTATGGTGCATTTCAACAATTAAGTAAGAAATGCGTCAACAGTGAGCGTTGTCTTCTAAGTGCGAAGATTTCACAATGTAATTTATGGCCATATTTAGGATAATTTCATTAAAAACTACCAGCATCCAAATGGCGATCTCTTTTAAACTAAATGGGCCTTCCTTGCTTAAAAGATATCACTTTCACGATTTTGTGTTATAGACTAACCCAATGTAATATAAAATAGCATGCCAAAATAAGAAACATAAAACAACACACTGATAATTGCAGTTCAATATACAGTGATAATTGACCAAAACTTACTTTTAAAGTTTTTAGGGTTAACGTGGTCCGATTTAGTTAATTATTGTCGTTTTTTGGTGAAAAACTGGAGAAAAATAACTGTTCTTAATTTTATACAAAACGCATCTTTAGAGTAAAGCAGTCGACGTGGTTTCTAGTAAAATGTGGCGAAACGCATGACTCCACTACG